CTGTCACGGCGGAAGCTGCAGCAGAGAATAAGCAGGTGCAGGCCATTATTGAGCCGCGCTTGAAGATGCTTACTGAGTTAGCGAACAAGTTTCTGTCAACGATCATCGATCACGTGGATGAAGCCCCATATGGCATTCGGTGGATTTGCAAGCAAATTCGGAGCTTGTCTCGTCGCAAATACCCTGATGCGCAAGACCAGACGATCTGCACCCTCATTGGTGGATTCTTCTTCCTTCGCTTCATTAACCCAGCCATTGTCACCCCACGCTCCTACATGCTGATTGAATCGACTCCGACGGAAAAGCCCCGTCGCACGCTGACGTTGATCGCCAAGATGCTTCAGAATCTGGCAAACAAGCCCTCGTATGCGAAGGAGCCTTATATGGCGAAACTGCAACCGTTCATTGAGCAGAACAAAGAACGAGTCAATAAGTTTATGCTTGATCTGTGTGAAGTGCAGGACTTCTACGAGAGCTTGGAGATGGACAACTACATAGCACTATCCAAGCGCGACTTGGAGTTGCAGATCACTCTCAATGAGATGTATGCCACACATGCCTTGTTGGAGAAACACAATGTGGCTTTGGCGCAAGACCAACATTCTCACCTCCATGTGTTGTTGCAGGAGCTTGGTACAGCACCGCCCCAGGTTCCGCGCAAGGAGAATAGGACCATCACAGTCCCCTTGTTCAGTCGCTGGGAAACCACTGCACTGGATGATTTGACCTCGGCCCTCGACATCACTCAAGAAGAAGTCTTCTTCATGGAAGCCAAGTCCACATTTGTTCACATCTTGCGGTCTTTGCCGCCAGACTCTCCTGTCGCCCGGCGCCCCCTTCGCCTTTATCGCATCGCAGAGGCGGCGGCAACCTCGAAGACCGGCGATGCGGCCATGGTCAAGAAGGGCATTCGCACCATGGAATTGTTGAGCCAGCTTCAGGAGATGGGAGTGATTGATCGGTCGGACGATTTCAGTCTTCTCCGCGACGAGGTGGAACAGGAGCTGGTGCACCTGGGATCTCTGAAAGAAAAGGTGTTGGAAGAGACGAAGAAGTTGGAAGAAGTCTTTGCGACCATCCGTGATCACAATGCCTACTTGGTGGGTCAGCTCGAAACGTACAAGTCGTACTTGCACAACGTCCGAAGTCAATCGGAGGGGAAGCAGCGGAAACAGCAGAAGCATCAAGAACTTGGACCCTACAAATTCACACATCAGCAGCTTGAGAAAGAGGGCGTTATTCGCAAGAGCAACGTCCCTGAGAACCGTCGGGCGAATATCTACTTCATGTTCAAGAGTCCTTTGCCTGGCACCTTCGTCATCAGTCTCCACTATAAAGGTAAGCTGAAGACTTCAGACTTGTGGCTTTTGGTGAGTTCTATGCTAACTCGGTGAACCTAGGTCGTGCTCGTGGCCTTCTGGAACTGGATCTCAAGCTTGATGATTTGTTGGAAATGCAGAAAGACAACCAGGAGGACCTAGACCTGGAGTACGTCCAGTTCAATGTTTCGAAAGTACTCGCACTTTTAAACAAACGATTTGCACGGAAGAAGGGCTGGTAGGAAGCCCTCGGTTTTCGGCTTCCACGTCGATGACCGTGACGACTTACATGAACTCGAGCGGACTGCAAGCAATAACGGCTTCAGTTTGGTATCCATACTCGTAGCAGATGCTGCTGGCTTGTCCGTTCGTTTTACGCTATGATTTCGAGATGGATGGATGACCGAGATTTACATTCTTCGATTGTCCCCATGTTTCAAGATGGGGCTTGACGATCAATCATCGAAACCTTCTCGATGACTTCTGATTTCAGTTCTCCTTTCAGTTGGTGTCCGTTGCCCATACAAGGCGGTAATATATGGTGAGCACGCCTGTTGTTCTCTGGGTGGCAAAAGCGCTGTCCTCGCCGGTTCGAGGATGAGCGCCCATGGCTTCAGTTATTGTTTTTCCTAAAACCGTCCACTTTTGCGACGGGCTATATCCTATGATGATTTGTGCCTGGATTTGTTTTGGCCACCGACAATTCACCAAAGTTGCAGTGCACGTTTATAATTTTTGTTGCCTCATTTCCATGCCGTATTATGCTACACTGTCTATATATGTACCTATAACCATTGGATTTAGCGTTCACTTGCCTTAATATGGCACCTAATGAAGAAGATACTCCCGACGTGACTTGTGGCTCAGACCGATTTTCTGAAGTAGTATTTTTAGTGCGTATCTTGCTGTTCTTGCTCTTCAGGCGTGAAACGTAGGAAGAAGCACTTTGCGCCACTAAATTGAGGAGGCAGATCTCCCTACTCGGATCTGCAGTGAGAGGCTACACCTACGTCACCAAAAGTATCAATTGGTCGAGCGGTCGGTCAGTCTAATCAAAGGACTTAGTTCCAACTCGGTGATATGAGGGTGGTACTCATTTATTATGGAGGAGCGGCTGATCAATACTAAGGGGAGAGTGAGAATAGACGAAGCGGTAACGTTAGCAGGTGTGAAGGAAGGCAACGCGGCGACCGCCTGTTGCTGAGGCCTCCTCGCTGAGGCCTCCTCTCTCAGGCATCGAATTCAGGCTGGTTCTTCTTCTTCTTCTCCTTCTCCTTCTTGCACTCCGTAGATCTTTGGAAGTGAACTTAGTTGTTCAGTTGTTGATAATTGATAACGATCGGATCTGTCTTTAAGAGAATTAAACAATCAGTTACTCAGACATTGCAACCTCCATAATAAACCACTTCTCAAACGGATTCAATAGATAAAATAGTCTATCATTTACCCCCTTGAAGCCTACGTATTGTTTCTGTTCCCCCC